ATGACATCCTCTGTCTGTTGTGTACCATATATACAAGGGCATTGGAACACCTTGCAAGCCTCACAACTTGGGCGCAGCCGGTTGCATTTGATCTAAATACATTTTTAGAATTGACTGTTCGTGACGAGTGACCAGAAGATTCTTTATTACCTTCCTCTTCCGACAGGACTTGCAATTCATCGACTCTCGCGGTTCGGCATTGACACGGCGGGGAGTTAGCCGGTCGATGCTGACCTGAGGTCGGGACATGGCCACATTACATGACATATGCCTGTTTGCGTAGATAGACGGATGGATAGACGGGAGACACGGAAGCGAGATATCGCGGGAGGAGGATAAACAAGATTCTTGACAAGCATTGAGAAGCAAAGGGTTTAAAAGGAAAAGAAGAAGAGGTTAAGAGTGAGAGAATGACCCCAGATTTAAACGCAGTGGAAAAACGTGGAGAACACGGGTGGGACTACACTGGATAAGGGCTAGTGTGACGGAGATACAGCCGATGCGGGGATGGTCGCTTACCGGCCGTACCAAAATTACCAAAACCAAAGCCTTTTCCCATACTGACTTTCGCCTTGAATCTTTTACACTTCGAGTCTAATTTACCATGGCGTTTAACAAGCAAAACCTTCACATCCTTTTGACTTAAGTAGTGGTGCAACCTTAGTGATCTGCAAGATTCGGTTAAATACCATTTATCCTCGACGGGATTTTCCCCTGTCCATCACGGACTGCCGTCCGGTCGGCAATAACATGATGTGCATCCGCACTCTTCATGTTCATCTTCCCCTTCCCAATGTACGGTAGATTACCTGCCCAGGATGCTTTTGTCACACCATCTCGTCTCCTAGTCCCAATGTAGTATCATCTCAGAGAGTCCCATACGAAAACTGTATGGCGCCGTCCCTCCGCTAATTTAATTGAATCAGCAGAATGTCATTTTATGTTCTGCAATAATCCTGCTCCCCCCCATTGAATTCAACTTACTCCAATCAGCCTGATTGCAATGTATTGGTTCACCCCCTCCCTCCGCGGAAACCGGGTTGCGTCACTTAAGTCCGATTCATCTATCAGTACTCCAATATATATACATCAAATCAAAATACTCGACCTGACGCCATGCGCACAAAATCAAACGGTACATTCTGTCCCACGAGCAGTCGCAGCGTCTCCACAGTTGTCCATGCATTCACATCTTCAATCCCATAAGCTGTCCACCCCGCACGCACAGCCACTCCTACAGGGTCCCCCGTGCGTTCACCTCGCGTCAAGTCGAGGTATACTTTCCCCCGTGTAGATGGTGGCGAGGCTTGACCATTCGTTCGGTAGTGTCGCAACAGCGGCTGGACCAACAACGACTTCTCTGGAGGCAGCGCGGATACAATCACAAACGGCTGCTCAACCAGTTTCACGGACTGGATCGACGTGAATGGCTCTAATCCGTCTGCCAGCGGCCCGCTCGCCCGGAACCCCACCGTGTAGATCGCTCCAACACCCAAGCTGCGCAGTGCAAAGATGGCCGCTGATGCCTCGCTCTCAGTACCCGCAAGGATAATCGCCGCTCGGCCGCGATATGCCGACGGAACATAGTCTCGGGTTAACGTTGCCCGGATCCCCTTCCATGTCGCATTCTCACCAACCAACTGAGCCTTCGGTGCAGCGCTTTTTGCGGCCACAATCGTATCGACTAATCCAATTGCGCGGGCAGCGTCACTGACGGCTGGAATGCATGTGGTGCTGCTCGATATAGGCGGATGTACCGACGCTCCGCCAAAGGAGGGCTGAGTGATCACACGTTCGATGGAACCCATGGGTCCACGGTCGATCGAAGTCAGTGTGTGCGGCAGGCTCAGTTCGTTGAAACATTTTTCCATAAACATCGACTGCGGCGTTGAGCGGAATGATCCAATGGCGTACAGATCGCGCTTGGGTAGCTGCCCCATGATATGGAGCGCCTCGTTAATCTCTGCCGCCGTTAGTTGCCCCGGCGCTGCAATCATCGGCAATAACGGATGCGTGATGGGCGAGAACACAGTGTTGAGCGCTCGCGAGAGCTGACCCATCTGCCCCATGTTGACAGCCGACAGGAGGGGGTACGACCCATGGGCCCTCTTGATCGTCGACCGAAAATACTCGAGTTCGTAATTGGCCTCAACAGTATTGACCATAGCAATCATCTTCACAATATCCGCGTATTTGGCGCTTTCCGCGAAGATCCGCGGTGCATCGGGAGATGTCCATTTCCACGTTCCTGAGAAATCATGGAATGCTGACATGATGATGCTATTTCCTTTGACTTCCGCTAACTGTCTCCGGATATCCTCCGGAAGCCACAGCTCAACATCTATATACTCGACACCCCACTGGATTGCCCGGCGAAGGTACCTATAGAATAGTACTGGATCATCCATGGGGAACTTACCATTCTCCTTGGTGCATCGCGTGGTGAAGATGATCGGCAGTTCTGTATGCTGCCGAAGCAACATCAACTGCTGGCCAACGTACCGCAGGCTGGGCACCCGGTTGGAGATGCCCACAGGTGAGGGCTCAACCAATAGATCTACACGGATCTCGACTGCATCTGAACCTACCGACAAAATGTCAAGATTGGGTAATGCCGCATGGACGTCCGGAAAGGTCGTCGAGATAAAATTCGTGCGGCTTTTGGTCTTCAGGTCTTCATGTGGTCTGGTTTGGCCCAGAATCAAAGACAGAAACCGGGTCAGATCGCGGCGAAAGAAAGGACTCCGAAGGGAATACAGAAACTCATAGTCGCAGCGGTCGGTAAGTGATTCATCTGGAAAGGAGCCATCATCCACACAGTGCGTGTTGATTAAGATGCCGGCAGGCTTCTCACACCCTTCCAGAGCACGACCCAGATGGTCAGCCAATATCCCGGTCACGACAGCATGACCGCCCCGCCCGAGTGTGGACAGAGAAGATTCCGTAGTCCATGGCTTGCCCAGGATCTCAGCGACAACTTGGACGATAGTGTCCTGATTGGGGCCATATACAATGGCGACGGCACGAGAGGGCTCTGGGGGCAGGTTTGGGGTAAGAGAAGTGACAGCAAAGGAAGAAGTTCCTTTGATTGAGGTAATAGGGGAAGAGGTTTCAGGTAAGAGTGTCATAGCCACGGGCTTATGAATGGCTGTCTGCATCATCTCATTGCATGGGCAGTACTCTGCACCTTCATACTGTATCCGGAAGATGCCGAATCTCTAGGGAAGAAGAAAGGAGATGAACAGCTAATCCCACCGTAGCGCCAAATCTGGTACTTCAATCAAAACAATAATAAAAGACAATCGACAGGACACTGAGATCGAGAACGAGACCCTCAAAGAAGCATTGACGTTCACACGTAGTCGAGAGGTACTTTAAACCCTAGCCAAACAATAGAAGGGAGAGTGGACTTTATCAGGGCAGATGGGATGGAGGGTCGACTGGAGATAAGCGACTAGTGTGCAATACCCGAGATGTCAATAGGCAAGGGTTAAAACTACTAAATCGAATCACTGGCCCAATAAGTAGGAGCAATCGAGTTGGTTGAGGAATCTTGGACCGGGGCGCTATAAAAAAAGGGTAAAAGGAGAGACCACAATCACATTTGCCAATACAACGTGAGGAAGACGATAGGACCAGGGTCGTGAAAGAATGAAGTTGGTAAGATGCTCTTCTTCCGACGGCTAAATTTCCCCGGAATTTCAGCTCCGCACTACGGGGAGCGGAGTCGATTTCTCCGCCAATCAGGCCGGTCTATTGCCCATGGCTGACAATCCATCTGTAACCTTAGGCAGCCTTTGTATGGACAGTACACAACCTCAGTACCTAGTATCAGAGGTAGCCATTATCCACTCGAGAAGTTTCTATGCCGGCGAAAATTTACTGTGGGCGGACTATTGTCCAGAGCCTGTAGATCACATCTCAGCAATTTCTAGCCTGTCTGGGAATTTCATATCATTTCTTGGTGTGACCTAAGCTTGCGACTTCTTCATCGCATACGGGGCAGATGCTACCAGAAGATCCAGCGATCCACAGCCTAAAGAGCTATGATACGAGGAAAAAGCCTCGCATGGTGTTATCTGTACCGCCTCTCGTTGGCCCGCCGATATCCACCAACATTATTCCCTGACCGAAGGATATTCTTGGGTGGTATCACGCATGGGCAAATGAGGGCCTATTTGTCCGCCAGCCACTCAAGAACGATAAGCTAAAGTTACATATTCTACCCATATATAGTATCATCTGTCTCTGTACTTGGTTTGTGTTGCCTCGGAAGCAGGCCATGATTAATTGAGTAGGGAAATATGAACAGGACGTGAGCCACCAATATGTCAAGAGAAATCAAATACATAAAACAATAGGATCAACCAATTGAAAGGGGTATTGAAAGCAACACAAGAAGTACCAAAACAAGGCAAGTTAGAATAGGCGGGAAAGCACGATCAGGTGCAGATCCTCCAAAGATTGCGAATATTAAGTGGCTGGATCAGCACAAAAGGTGTATGTGCGCATTGGCGTACACAGATGAATGTATGCAATGTATGTACCTCCACAACTCAAAACCGGAGTCAGTGGTATGCCATGATCATGATAATTACGGAGATATGGTAGTGCGTAGGATATTTCGTATGTCCGATGCACCTCTTGCTTTCTTGAGATGCAAATGCAAGGATACCTTCGACTCATTGTTTTGTGTAGTAAAATCAGTCGCAACGCCCATTTTCTCAGGGTGCTGGTATGCGGCAGCAGTCATGTAGCGCGTGAGCCAAAGAAGCACACGCTACCAGTGCCCAAGGACGTCATAGACAAAAGTTTTTAGTCCACAAAAGCAGATATTTGTGGGTGTGACTTTCATGGATTTCTGCAGCACATATCCACATGACGCTCCGTATTTGCACTTTGCGAGATGCGACTCGAGGATACGTGGCATGCATACAACACGGGATATGCCATATCCAATAGTAAATAGAGATATGCAATCCACCAGCCGTGTTTCACCTTTATGGGGGTGAGATGGCCAGCCCGTTCATGAGCTTAGGCAGTGGCTTTCTACGGGCATTGTTTGCCGTCTTCGATACCCGAGGGGCTCCGTGGATCATGCGGGGCTCTTTCATCAGGCTGTTATCGAGTTTTGCTGGTGCTGTAGAGTAGGTGTCAGCGTGGGAAAAGTGGTAGACTGCGTAACAGAGTCGACGAACCTCTAGTGACGACACGGGTATAATCCCCAGAAAGACCTTGTTGCCCCCTGCTACCTGGACCAAAGGAACTAGCACTGGCAGTTACCCAAAGATGATTCGACGTATCCGAAAGGAAATCCGTCTGCATTCGGCTAGAGAAAAAAGAAGTCCGCCCACGATTGCGTTTGGATAAGACGATCTCATCAAAAAGGGCCATTCTTGGATCCTTGGACTTGGGATTGACTCTTTCTCTTTCACTGATGAATTCATTGAAGCCTGATAGGATGTTAGTGACAAGGACCCTCGAGACAGTAGGTTGGCTTCAAAAGTGATGGCTTACTTTGTGTTTGCTGCAGGACGGCAGCATATTCAGCATGCTCACCTGGCAAGCTCTTCAGGAATGCCTCCATGTTGAAGCTATAGGTCAGGCCCGCTTTCTTCTTATCACCAGAAGCAGGTTGTAAGAACTTCTTGTAGGTATAGAGCAAGCTAGCAAAACACCTTACAAATGCGGCGCGAATCTGTTCCGGATGGAACGCAGCGGGACACACCAGGCAGATCTGCAAGGCGCAACGGTTGTGAACAAGAGTCTTACAGGCGTTACACTTGTACATGGCTTCGTCAGCCCTTTCATCACAGATTGCACAAATAGACTTGTCGTCGCATGGCAGCACTTGCAAGCAATGCCCCTCCACCCAACAGGTGCCTTCGGAGTTGTGAATTGGTTGCGAAGAAGGCTGTGGAACAATGGTGGACGCAGCAACAGTCGATTGGGCATAGACGGAGGGTGCGTAAGTTGACCCAGAATTATATTCCGTATTCAGTGTTGTCACAGATAAATTCGAGGTGTGGCCTAGGAAAGGAGCACTTGGCCGTCTGGGAACACCTCCTCTTAATTCCATACCGAACGACGAACTTCTTCGTGATGCAGCATCGAAATGACCTGAGCGCTTCTCGCGCAAGGATGCCTGAAGAGCCATCCCCGAATCAGTCCGCGAGGAAACCGGGAAATGACCTGATGTGGGAGAGGTGTCCCTAGGTGAAGGAGGCGACCCGGTCTTGGACGATCCAGTCCCGGCCGGTCAGGACCCTTAGACGAATATCCCCTAGACGGAACCTGCTCGTAGCGAGCATGCAGATAAGCATTGAATACAAGAGGCGCATACGTTCCCGGCATCGAGGCCTGGCCGAATGCGTTCGAGTTAAGGCTGACGTATTTCGCTAACTGAGTCGACTGCGCTTTGGAGTGGAAAATAGAGGAATTCTCCGACATAAACGCATCGAACGGGAACGTCTCCACTGCATATGCTGGCGGACCAGTTGGGACACCGCACCGACTGTGGTGGGGGGCGGCCAGTTGAAGTAGCGAATGCAGCTTTCTCCGCTGGTGACGCGGCAGGGGCGTTGGCCGAACTGTACTCTCAATGAGGTCTGCGTCGAGATCCACCAAGACGAAGTCATCCGATGGTAGCTCAACCTTCTCATATCTCCGCTCGATACCTACAATGTAAGGACAAGGAGCTTCGAGAGCTTGGATCAAACGTGCAGGCAAAACAGGAATGAGCACTCCAGTCCACTGGAATGGGAACAACAAATCAACCAGTGCCCTAGTAGCCAAGTAAAGCATCGAAGTATGGGACGACAAGAATATTATACGCGATTCGGTCAGTGCATACTCGAAAAGAATGATGATGTTCGGCAGCGACAAAGTTCGGAATAGTGCATAGAGATCAGTATTTCGGGAGCCTGGCAGTTCGTTGGTAGCTTCCTTTCGTGCAAACAGGCGCAACTCCCGGACCGAAAGCTCTACTTGGGTCTTGGACGAATTGGGGCTAAATGCCTCAGTGCATAGGTTCATCACATATCGTTCCAAGGGTTGCCACATCCCCATCCGCGGAGAGCTTGGAGGGATCCGCTGAATGCTTCCCTCAGTCATGGGCACAATTACTGCTTTCAGCCACTCTTTCCAGAAACTCGTCATGCTTTCTTCCCGCCCAAGAATACCGTAAGCGCGGGGGATCCAGAATCCCGTGTCGCCGTCAGTCAGACCTTCAATTTTTGATGCTGCACCGTGCCGGACTGGGCGTAAAAGGTCGGTCATTAAGCCGATTTTCTCTTCAACCGCACTGATCTCATCCTCCAGCTGCTCTCTTTGTTCCGACCCTGAAGGCACCGTGGGGAGTTGGGCTAGAAGTCTCGAGAGTTTGGCCCGTTCGCTCGCTAGCCTTTCACCGAGACTGGCCGCTAGCTCTCGCTCTTCGTCTGTCATATTGTCTTTTCGCCATTCCTCGCAGCGTTTTTCCAATTCCTCCGCAGCTCGCTGATTCAGTGGAATCCATATGATAAGACAAATGGCGTGCAGTCGTGAGCCATTGTCAGTTGTCATGACAAACCCGTGCCAGGTAGAGCGCGGTCTCTGATCTGAAGAAACAATATGGATATCGTTCGGAAAGGCAAACATCGGGACATAGTCTGGGAAGTTGCCCCGTTGCTTCAGCTCGTCAGACATTCCTTTGGTTGGGTACCGGTCGAGGAGAACGGGCTCAAAACGGCGTTTCAGGGGATGCATGGTAGGGGAGATCTCCAACGGTTGTGGTGCCGGAATAACTGAGTTGTAATTACTGAGTCGTCGCGAGGTCCGAATAGAAGCTGTTTGAAATTGTGGTTAGCAAACTCGATGCTCTCAGTTCCTGGAATGTCGCAAACTCACCTTGACGAGCAACTGACGGCTGCCGTTTCATACTGTTCATGTCTCTGAATGCCATATGACGCCGCACGCTACCAATACCTGATCTAAGCAAGCTAGATGGCTGGGAGGGGGTCTCTTCAGAGACAATCTTCTGTGTACGTAACCTGGACCTGGGGCGCGACGTGGGAGTGATAGCTCCGGCACTGAGACTCAGATCCGACAGGAACGACTCCCGCTCGTTCGCAAACTTGAACAGGGCCTTGTCAAAGTCAAAATCTTCTAGGAACGACGACCCTCTGGGCGATTGATTACCCTTGATGGTCAGACTGCTCCGGTTGCTGCTGGTGCCATTCCCGCTGGATTCACTGGAGTCTCCCGAGCGCATTGAGAAACGCTGGAAGGAATTGCGGCCTCCAGCCATGGAAGTGGGCCGAGAGAGGGAGTCCAAACGGGGGTCGTGTGCCTCCTCCGCGTCCGCATCTTCCTCGATAGTGTCCGCAAGAGCGGGGCCAGGGGAGGTGGCACTGTTTGCTCTGTATTCATCGCCCAGTCTTTGAAAAGTCTCTAAGATTTCTGTGCCATCAACACCGGCGATCCAGAAGTAGTCTGCAAGCGGGGTGGTAGACACCTCGGGGCCGGAGGAGGAGGATGAGGAGGAGAACGGCATCTCGTCGAATCGTCGGCAGTCAATCGCGGGGCTGTAATCATCAATCGTCTCAATTCGTGGACTTCGTTACAACATGAAGTGAATCCAACCCTTGATGCTACGAATTCTCCACCAGCATCAACGGGGGTGGTGTGTATGAAATTCAGCGATCAGAGGTTTCGGAATAGATAGATTGGTAACGACAGTAGGAACGAGAACACATAAGTCTAGAATCGCGACGCTGTCGCAAGGTCGGACAGGGTTGCTGAGGAAATTCCGAGATGACAGGAATGGATGAGAGAAGGGAGCAGAAATGAGGCTTTTGTGTTGCTGCGTAGGAAAATTTGTCTGGGGGTTGGATTTCTTAGTGCCACTTGCATTCACAAGAAAAAGGAGTAAATGATGGACGGGATTGGATGAGGGGGAAAACAAGAAAAGAAAACGGAATTGGATATGACAATGGAATCTTGGAAAATAGGATTAAGGATAGGGCCTTTTTTTTAGATCTTGACTGCTCTTTTTCTTTCTTTCTTTTCCCGCTTTTTTCTTTTTCTTTTTTTTCGAGAAAAGAAAAAGAACGTCCGATGCAGTGACGGATGGTTGCGTAGACAAGAACTACTACGGACAGTAGTCAATTAGTAGAAGGGGGAAAAAGAGGAACGGCGCCAAAAAGTAGTCCGTCTCTTTCTCTTCCTCGCCCACTTTCTGTCTCCTCCGCTCCGCACACGCACAACCGACAAACCGTCAGTGCACCACAACTTTCGCTCTTGTGCCTGTCCTAACTATTACCATTACTATTACCACCTAAGATTTTTAGGGCCAACTGCCAGTAGCTGTAGGTACCCACTTACGGATGCATGTTATACACAGCAAACACGGACACAAAAGGGTAAAAAAAATTAATAATAAACGTAATTAAAGTAAAATAATCGAATAAATTAGGCAAAATAAAAATGATAAGAACACAAACCAGAAAGGTTGGGACGGAGGCTATTTAATTTGATCCATGTTTTATTAGGGATTAATTAAATTATTTACATTCCATCAT